ACTGCCACGGCTGGCTGGACGCGCAGGGCGTCTGGCGCCTCGGCTTCCAGTGCCCCGAGCGCTTCGACGGCGGCGACGCCACCATCTGCTGCGGCAGCTGCGCCTTGCGGTACTGCTGTTCCAGCGCCGAGGCGCGCCTGGACCAGGGCGGCTGTGACAACGACCGCCAGCAGGGCGCGGGCGAGCCGGGCCGCGCCGACAAGGACGTTCCGGATGGCTCAGCAGGTACGGGACCCCCCCCTCCGCTCCCCAGCTCCCCTTTGTTCCCCGGGGTGGAGGGGGTGGCCGCGGGGCCCGATGGCTAGCGTGGAGAGGGGAAAGGAACCTGGAGGTGGAGCTGTAAGGTATTTTCCCCTTCCGTTTGTGTGAGCTAGTCGGGGTGCACGGATGGCTGCTGCCACGCAGGAGGCTGAGGTCTGAAGATCGGCGTTCGGAGCCCAGCCCAGATGGGAAAGTCCATGCGATTCTTTATCTCCGATTAAACCACTCTAATACTAGAAGCTCAAGGGGTAGAGTAAAAAAGCTCAAGGATAGTTCCTTAGGCCCTAAGTTCAAGCCAGCTCTAGGGCTGGTGCGAGCGCACGCGCGCACATACACACACTGCCTCAGTTTCCCTGTCAGATGAAAGGATAGTGTAGATTGGATTTTTTTTTTCAAGGAAAACCACACACCTAAGGCAGTTTGGGCAGACAGCGCTCACAGTCCAGGATTCTGCTGTGCAGGCTCCTTGGCTCTCTTCCTCCGCTCACGAGTCTCCACGTTAAGTTTCATTTCTTGGGAGACACCGGAGGAAATGGCCCGCGTGGGGACGCTTTCTGGAAGGCATTTTAGGAGGAAGGCACGCTCTGCTGCCCTGCGGGTTTGTGGCCTGTTCTGATGATCACTCCAGATCACAATGGAGCAGGGTCCAAATATTATTTTGTTTTGTGTGTGTGTGTGTGTGTGTGTTGTTGTTGTTGGTACTGGGGCTTGAACTCAGGGCCTTGGGCTCTTGCTTAGTTTTCTCCTTTAAAGCTGGTACTCTGAGTTGAGCCACACCTCCGCTTTCAGCATTTTGCTGGTTCATTGGAGGTAAGAGTCTCTTGGATTTGTCTCACCAGGCTGGTTTTGCTGTTCCATGCTCAGATCTCAGCCTCCTGAGTAGCTGATTTTTATTTTTTTTGAACTGCCCAAGCCAAATTTGGAAAAGAAATCTGTAAATGAATTTGGTAGTGGCATTCCATCCTTTGGCTGGGAAATCTTCCCAGACTACCCCTGCTTCCTCCCCCCCCTCCCTGCCCCCCACGATCTGCGCAGATCCCTCGGTGTTTCTGAGGTGGAGGGGTAGAAACAAAATACCAAACCTGACCTAAAGCAAAAAGTTCATCCTTGTTCTGCAGCCCCTGTGTGGACTGGCTTTTTTTCCCCCCAACACCCTAAGCAGACCAGAATTGGAGTTGCCTTGAGCATTGGCACTAGGTAGTTTCTGTGCTACTCTAATTGTTCTGCTTATTGTATCTTATTGCGTCTGAAGAGAGGAGTGAGGGTAAATCTAGAAAAGGTAGCAGCATCTTAAAATGCAAGCTCAGATTTGCAGAGTGTGTGGTCTGGGAATAAAGCCCTATTGGAGCCAAAGCCTGAGCTGCCACAATAAGATGTCTGTCAATATGGGCTTGTCAACCATCTCTTAAAAACTTAAAAAATTAGTCTAAAAAGTTAAGCAGATCTGGAGGCAGTACACTGTCACGATGCTTGCAGTTGCAAGGGGGTGGGGTGGCTTGTTCATTCTACCTTTAAATCTTTCTCCTCAAAAATTCTGTTTCTTCCTCCATTGCTTCTGCACTGAAGGACATCTTACCTAATTAAGCCAGGGGGTGGGGGCTTAGATTAGCATGGCATTCTTTTACCCCTGTGTCGTTAATTTTTTTCCCCTTTTTATACTTCCAATTAAAAATCCTGGATAGAGAACAGTTATTTCTCCCAAAACTCATTATGCGAACTGAAATAGGTTCAGCTAGTTTTTGCTATAGAGTTAGGATATATATTTTTTTTTCTGTGTTATTATTTTTTACCTCTTGGTAACATTTCTGGGGGCTGGTATCTTCATTTGGAAAATAGAAATTGATAGCATGTGTGGGAAAGCTTGGCCTTCCAGAACTCTGATCCTCCACAGTTGGGCTGCAGTGGTGGCATTTAAGTAGCCTTGCTATGGGGGCCAGCTGTACTCAGAGTGGGTTCAGAGCCTTCCCTTCCTGAAGGGACACTCTGTATAGACTTGGCAAAACGTTCACTGTCAGCCTGTGGTTCTACACCTGTGAAGTATGTTTTCCTTGTAATGAATTATTTCCCTGTGATTCTTGGCCGGGGAGGGGGGGAGTTACATTTGAAAATGCTAGCAGTGCTATGCCAATGCCAGTGAAACCAAGTAGGGGCCTGCTTTTATGTATTTTTTTTTATGAGAAATACGAGGAGGACTGGAGTGTATTAGCACCTCTACCCCTTAAAAAAAAGTCAGAGAGATGGGCAGAAGCCCACCAGAGAACAGGTTCTGCAGGCTCATCCTGCCAGCTCTGTCCCCAAAGAAAATCTTTACAGTTGCTGCCCTGTGGCTCCCAAAACCACGTGTGTGTGTGTGTGTGTGTGTGTGTGTGTGTGTGTGTGTGTGTGTTGGTCCAGGTCCTCAGGGCCCGGTCAGTGTCCTTGAGCTTTTTTGCTAAAGCCTAATGCTGTACCACTTGAACCACAGCTCAACTTTCAGCTTTTTGATGATTGATTGGAGATAAGAGTCTCACCGTCTTTCCTGTCTGGGCTGATTTGGAACCCTGACCCTCAGATCTCAGTTTCCTGAGTAGGTAGGACTACAGGCATGAGTCAAGTTGGTGCCCAACTTGAAAAAATAGGTCTTTTTAAGAAATACTTTGTGCATAATTTCAAAGTACTTTTACATTGTTTTGTGCTAGTATTGGGTCTTGAACTCTGGCTTGGCTTTTTCTGCTCAAGGCTGGTAATCTACCAGTTTGACCACACCTCCACTTCTAGCTTTTTGTTGATTAATTGCAGATATGAGACTCACAGATTTTTCTACCTGGGCTGGCCTCAACCTGTGATCCTGAAGATCTTATCCTCCTGAGTAGCTAGGATTACAGGTGTGAGCCACCAGCATCCAGCTTATTTTACATAGTTTATTAGCATCAGTTAATTGTACAAAGTGATTTCATTTTGACTTGTTTATATAGACATACCATGTGCCTTTATCAGATTCATCCACTCTGTCACTCTCCTTCCATTGGAGCTTGGTACACGTGCACGAGAGAGAGACAGACAGAGAGAGAGAGAGAGAGAGAGAGAGAGAGAGAGAGAGCGCATGTGTGTTTAGGTACTGAGGCTTGAATTTAAGACCTTTAACTCTTGTTGAGATTGTCTGGTGTGTGGGCTCGTCCTGGGATTTGTATTCAGGGTCCCAGCTCTACCCTTGAGCTTTTTTTGCTTAAGGAGGTTGCTCTACCACTTGAGCCACAGCTCCGCTTTTGGCTTTTTTCAGTGCTTAATTGGAGATGAGTTTCATGACTTTCTTGCCCAGGCTAGCTTTAAACTGTGATCCTCTGATCTCTTGAGTAGCTAGGATAATAGGCATTAACCACTGGTGCCCAGCTTTGCTTAGCTTTTTTGATCAAGACTGGTGCTCTACCACTTGATCCACACCTCCACTTTGGACTTGAGCATAATAGCAATCTTAACACATTATGCCTATATCTCATCAAACCTGGTACCTACTTCAGTCAGTGCCACTGGAGGACCTAACTGTAAATATGAACAATTTAGCTTCTGGGGAGCCAGTGTACCATGCTTATAAGATCTTGGCACTGTTCCCTAGCACTTGGCAAAGGCTGGCACATGTGGTGCCCTGCTGGCAATGGGCAGGCTGGCCTGGCGCAGGATTTCAATTCTGAGTGTCAGCCCCACGCACCGGCCATCGCCAGTCATATCCCTCACTACTTTCCTGGTGTTCTCCCAGTAAATCATAACGTTGTATTTGTCTTTTGTTCTCAGTCCCCATCTACGTACCCTTCCTCATCGTGGGCTCCGTCTTTGTCGCCTTTATCATCTTGGGGTCCCTCGTAGCAGCCTGTTGCTGCAGATGTCTCCGGCCCAAGCAAGAACCCCAACAGAGCCGAGCCCCAGGGGGCACCCGGCTAATGGAAACCATCCCCATGATCCCCAGTGCCAGCACCTCCCGGGGTTCATCCTCTCGCCAGTCAAGCACAGCTGCCAGTTCCAGTTCCAGTGCCAACTCAGGGGCCCGGGCACCCCCAACCAGGTCACAAACCAACTGCTGCTTACCGGAGGGGACCATGAACAACGTGTATGTCAACATGCCCACGAATTTCTCCGTGCTGAACTGTCAGCAGGCCACGCAGATTGTGCCGCACCAAGGGCAGTACCTGCACCCCCCTTACGTGGGGTACACCGTGCAACATGATGCTGTGCCCATGACGCCCGTGCCACCCTTCCTGGATGGCCTGCAGCCGGGCTTCAGGCAGGTGCAGCCTCCCTTTCCCCATGCCAACAGTGAGCAGAAGATGTACCCCGCGGTGACCGTATAGCCCGGTCTGCCACCTCACATGGATTCATTGCTTTAGAAGACCAAGGGAAACTGGAAGAGATTCTTGAGGTGGAATTCTGCGCATGTTGGTGATTTTTTTTTTTTAAATGGCATTCTTCTTTCGGATGGCTTCATTTGCCCCTAACTTATATAAAAGCATCTCTGAATTAGCCTTGCCAGACTTGTGGTGTCCTGGTGTGTCCCTGATTCATGATGGAAAAGCCACCACTGTTAGTTATACATGGCAGATGCCTGAGCCTCAAAGCGCCGCTGAGGTGTGGTCATCAGAAGAATTTTCTAGACTGATAGATGAAGGGATTTTTATTATGTTATTAATAATATTATTATTTCATTTTACAAGAACAGATACCTGTTACTCCTTCTTACCTGGGTCATTAAAAAAAAAGCTTCGATGGTTGAAGGGAGAATATAAAGAATACAATTATTATAAAGAAAGAAACCAATTTGAACTTTATGAGATTGTCAATTTGTAATTCCAAAGGCACATCTTAATTTTAAGAAGATATATTTTATCTATGTTTGTGTTTTGTTGGGGTCTATTTTGTGCTTTAAAAACATTTTTTTTACCTTATGTAGAGATCTTATTACGAAAATGATTTTCTAAAGAGACAACTGACATAGTTCCTTAATTAATGAGACATTTTAGAATTCTGGTATTTTAATCTTGGAGTAGAGGATGGGGTAATAAAACTGTTTCATTCCTCTTTTCTTCTTTATTGTCTTTGAGTAATTGCACAAAGAGGTTTCAATTGAACAAGTCAGATTGTAAGTACAAAACATGTTTATCAGTATCTCCTGTTCATTCTTTTTTTTATATTTTAAATTCTTTTGGTGCTTGTCCTGGGGCTTGAACTTGGGGCCTGGCCACAGTCTCTGAGCTTTCTTACTCAAGGCTAGTGCTCAAACACTTGAACCACAGCACCACGTCCAGCTTTTTTTTTTTTTTCTGGTTAATTGGAAATAAAAGTCTCACAGACTTTCCTGCCCCAGTTGGCTTCAAACAGCAATTCCCAACTCCCAGAACCCAGCCTCCTAAGTAGCTCGGATTACAGGTGTGAGCCACCAGCACCAGCTCCTGCCCACCCCACCCCCTTTTTTTCTTTTGTCAGTCATGGGGCTGAACTCTGGGCCTGGGCGCTGTCCTTCAGCTCAAGGCTAGTGCTCTACCACTTGAGCCACAGTGCCACTTGCAGCTTTTTCTGCTTATATAGTGCTGAGGAATCGAACCCAGGGCCTCATGAATGCAAGGCAAGCGCTCTACCACTGAGCCACCTTCCCAGCCCCTCTGCTGCCCCTTCTTAATAGTCTCTTTTAATCTTTTGATGTTCCACAGGGACATCTGAAAAGTAATTAGAATATTGTTTCTTTTTGTGTGCTGATATTGGGGCTTGAATTCAGGGTCTCTTGCTTTTGCTTGGCTTTTCACTCAAGGCTGTCACTCTACTATTTGAGCCACAGTGCCACTTCCAGATTTTTGCTGGCTAATTAGAGAAAAGAGTCTTACAGACTTTACTGCCTGGGTTGGCTTCAAACCTAAATCCTCAGATCTCAGCCTCCAAAGTAGCTAGAATTACAGAAGTAAGCCACCAATGCCCGGCTATAGCGTTTTTGTTTTTTTTTTTTTTTTTTTTTTTTGTTTTAAATTGAAATTGTAAGCTATTACCTGCTACTCTCTGAAAGATTTTCAGTTTTGGTGTGAGTTGTAACCTGGCATTTTATTACAATTCGTTTTCTATAAGTACTATATTGTCTGTATAGTACTGAGGGCAGATAATCACCGTAGCAATAAACAAAGATTCATATATTTGCCTAGTTCTTAAACATTTTCTTGTTTTATTTATAAAAATTCAAAGAAATGTGTTCTATTACCCAAGAAATACGTTTCTTGGCTAACGATTAATTAGCCTAAGCCTTTTAACTTGGCTAATAGGCTCTTCAACCATTATTCAAAACTTGGGGTGGAATGTAAAGTTCAGACATGAGTTACTTTGCAAGTAATAAGGTTTTTTTTTTAAAAAAAATAATCTTGTTAATCAAAAATGGCTTATTTTTCCTGCAGCTGGGACAGTGGAATGGAGAGAAAGCTGTTCAAAGATATATTGCCTTTCTTGTTTTTTTTTTTTTCTTACAAGCCTCAATCATCATTGTATTTTTGGCTAATGTTTTGAACTGTTAAGTTCGAATGAGACTGTGTATCATTTACTGATTAAAAAACCAAGTTTAGGTATGTGCAAGAAAACTTCCAACTTCTAGCAAAACCCAAGATTTGTAATTAAACCAGTCTTTGTGCAGCATGATATTGATGTTTTACACGTTTATAGGTACAGCTGTCTGTCACCTATTTTTTGATCTGTCTGTCATCTCGTGGCTGCATAACATTAAACCATGTTTGGCAATTGGTATCAACCGAAGTACCCAATCCAAAAAGAATTTTAATAACCAAAGGCAGAGAAAAGCTGTTTTACTTTTTAATAAATATTATAAGGTGTGATTTCTTGGATAATTTTTTAAAAATTGTTTTATTTTCGTTGCATTTGGTAATTTTTCAGATAATCTAGTATATCTATTAATAGGTTACAATTCATAAATGTCATAAATCTTGCTTTCTGGAACCAAGAGCCTGCTCTTGTTTTTCATCCTTCTTTCCTTCCTTCCTTTCTTCCTTCCTCTTTCTTTCTACCTTTTTCTTTGTTTCTTTGTTTCGTGCTGATGCTGGGGCTTGAATTCAGGGTTTCACTTTTCTATTTGGTGTTTTGCTCAAGGCTTGTGCTCTACCTCTTAAGCCATACCTCCTTCTGACTTTTTGCTGGTTAATTGGAGATAAGAATCTCATAGAGGGGCTGGGCAGGTGGCTCAGTGGTAGAGTGCTTGCCTTGCATGCATGAGGCCCTGGGTTCGATTCCTCAGCACCACATAAGCAAAAAGAAAAAAGCCGGAAGTGGTGCTGTGGCTCAAGTAGTAGAGCCCTCGCCTTGAGCTGAAGAGCTGAGGGACAGTGCCCAGGCCCAGAGTTCAGGCCCCACGACTGGACCCAAAAAAAAAAAAAAAGAATCGCATAGATTTTTCTTTCTAGGGCTGGCTTTAAACTCTGATCCTCAGATCTCAGCCTCCTGTTATTACAGACATGAGCCTCCAGCACCTGGCTAGGAAAATGTCGTAATACAATCCCATTTTCCAATTTCCTGAGCTCAGTACACAGCGGAGAGCCAAGAGAACCTGCCCTGCTTAGGAGGGAGACCCAGTCACACCCAAAGGTTGCTGTGCAGTCATGTGTAGAGGTACACATATGTAGCTCTGGCCTGTTTCCTTGAACACGATGAAGTAAATACAGGTAGATGACTTTTAAAGAATCCAGGTGCTGGTGACTCAAGTTTATAATCCTAGTTACACCAAATGCTGAGACTGAGGATTGCAGTTTGAAGCCAGCCTGAGCAAGAAAGTCCCTGAGACTCTTATCTCCAATTAATCACCAAAAAATCCAGAAGTGGTATTGTGGCTCAAGTGGTAGAGTGCTAGTCTTCAGCAAAAACAGTTCAGGTACAGAGCTCAAGCCCTGAGTTCAAACTCCAGCACCTGCACAAAAATCAAAGACAAGCCGGCGCCTGTGGCTCACGCTTGTAATCCTAGCTACTGATGAGGCTGAGATCTGAGGATCACGGTTCAAAGCCAGCCCGGGCAAGGAAAGTCAGTGAGACTCTAATCTCCAATAAACCACTAGAAAACCGGAAGTGGCGCTGTGGCTCAAGCAGTAGAGCGCTTGCCTTGAGCTGAAGAGCTGAGGGACAGCGCCGAAGCCCAGAGTTCAAGCCCCAGGACTGGCTGAGGGCTTATCTCATTAGTGAGCAGGTACTAGGCCCTGAGTTCCATCCCCAGCACCCCCCCCCCCACACACCCTCCACACACCTGACTTTATAATTCAACTTTTTCTGTGTGTGTGTGCACCAGTTCTGGGGCTCAAACGTAGGGCCTCTTGATCTCCTTTGCCTCTTTCCCTCTACCACTAAAGCCCACAGCTTAAACTTTCAACTTTTGTGGGCTTAATTGGAGATAAGAATCTCACAAACTCTTCTGCCCAGGCTGGCATTGACCCATGACCCTTAGAGCTCAGCTTCATGAGTAGCTAGGGTTACAGGTGTGAGCCACCAGCTCCCAGATCCTATCTTTTTTTTTATCTTAAGAATTTGTCCAAGTAGCTCTAATAGTGCCATAAAAGGTTTGTAAAGTTCTAACTTTTTTTTCTCTTTTTGAGACAAGACAAAACCCACTCTCTGACAACTGTGTATGTGCCAAAGGGAAAGTTCCAGAGGGTCTTTTTAGTCTTAGCTTAGCTGCTGTGTGTTGTCTGTCTGAGAGCTAAGAAACCTTTTTCTTCTAAGTCTGAGACTGGGACTTGAACTTGGTACATGACATTTTTGCTCACTGGCTCTACCATCTGAGCCACACTTCCACCCCCAAAAGCCTCTCTACTAGAACTTCTGAGACTACGGCTCCCTGGAACTCCTGAGCTTTCCAGTCAAAGCATGATCCAGTGCACAAGGCCCATATTCAAGCACCCCAGGGCCGCAGGGGCTGCCTTCATGGGGTGACAGAGACATTGCCCTGTTGCTTTCCTTGCTGTTCTTTGGAATGTAGATGATAAGCTGGCACACAGATCCCCAGGGAAAGGCTTTGTTGTTGTTGGTCATGGGGCTTGAACTCTGGGCCTGGGCACTGTCCCTCAGCTCTTCAGCTCAAGGCTAGCGCTCTACCACTTGAGCTACAGCGCCACTTCCGGTTTTCTGGAGGTTTATTGGAGATAAGAGTTTCACGGACTTTCCTGCCCGGGCTGGCTTTGAACCTCGATCTTCAGATCTCAGCCTCCTGAGTAGCTAGGATTACAGGCGTGAGCCACGGGCGCCCCACAGCTTCCCATTCTTAGAGCTTGATTTCTAAGGCTTGTTGGATAGCATGAAAGCAGTGTCAGCCAGTTTTCTGCCACTGTAACTAAATCTGAGGCAATGAACTTATAAAGAGGAAAGGTCCATCCAGGTACACTGCTTCAGAAGTTCTGGTCTATTGCAGCTGACTCTGTTGCTCTGGAGCCTGTGGTAAGGACAGGATATCATAGTGGGAACCTATGGCAAAGCAAACCATTCCCTTCAGGGTGGGACATCAAGACAGAGCAGGAGGAGAAAGAACCAGGGTGTCAATATTCAAGGACACATCCTCAGTGACAGGAAGATCTCTTGGCACTACCTCTTAAGGCTTCCCCCCCTCCCCCCAGCGTTAATGCAGGGGCAGGGGGACCTTCCTGATCCAAACCACAATGAAATAAATCCTTTAGAGTGTGGCTGAGGGTTGAAAGATGGCTTGAAATGTAACTTAGAAGACCTTATCACTAGCTGGGCACCAGTGGCTCATGTCTGTAATCCTAGCTACTCAGGAAGCTGAGATCTGAAGACTGAAATTTGCAGGCAGCCCTAGCAGGAAAGTATGAGATGCTTATCTTCAATTAACCAGAAAAAAAGGGGTAAGTGGAGTATCAGCCTTGAGTGAAAAATCCAGAGGAGACCAAGAGGCTCTGAGTTCAAGCCCCAGTACACACACACACACACACACAAATTGAGTTAGGAAGTCTAGTGGGGGAGGTGATAGAACTCAGGGCCTTGTACCTTCTTAGTCCTAGCTCAGCCAA